CTTTCTGAGCACTGACATGATGCCACAAGTGAAATATACATAACTATTTAACACAAACTTGGTTTCATGCACAAAACTATTAAAAACATGGTATAAAATTGCCTTCAGGCAACTTTGTATGTGTATAAAGTGTACATGAAACATAAATGAATTTTGTGTTTCAATTTGGGTTCCATCCCTAAGATGTCTCATTATGTATATGCAGATATTCCAAAATCTGAAAAAAATCCCAAATCCAAAACACTCTCATCCCAAGTATTTTGGATAAGGGATATGCAACCTGTAATGTCTCAATGATATGTACGTGCTGTACGTTGCTGTACGTGTTCCATAAGTCAAATCCAGCTCCTTGGTATCAAGGAAGGTAGAAATTATATGCAGGGCCTGAGAAGGTAAGAATATCATGAAGAATGTTAAATACTGATAGAGATGTCATTTGCAACACAACAACACTGAAAGCATGCCTTTGGAATCAGAAGTTCACCTAGTTTCTTAAAACATAGCCTTGAGGCCGTCGCAGTGGCTCATGCCTGTAATCCCAGCACTTTGGGAGGCTGAGGCAGGCGAATCACGAGGTCAGGAGTTCAAGACCAGCCTGGCCAGTGTGGTGAAACCCTGTCTCTACTAAAAATACAAAAAATTATCTGGGTGTAGTGGCGGATGCCTGTAATCCCAGCTACTCGGGAGGCTGAGGCAGGAGAACTGCTTGAACCTGGGAGGCAGAGGTTGCAGTGAGCCAAGATCATGCCACTGCATTCCAGCCTGGGTAACAAAGTGAGACTTCATCTCAAAAACAAAACAAAACAAAATGAAAAACAAAATACAGCCTTGAGTTCACTGAATATCAGCTGATAGTCTAGAGCGTATATTCTAAGTTACTGGAGGCAGACAAATTTACCCAGTGAGAGTAAGTTGCTGTAGTTCTCCATCATCACATCCCAGTACAAGTTCCTCTGAGCAGAATCCAGATATTCCCATTCCTCCTGAGAGAAGTTGATGACCACATCCCTGAGTGTCACCAGTTCCTGAAACAACAAACCCGTACATTACAGGTAAAATTTAAGGAAATATTTTTGAGAAAAAGGCAAGATGAATTGCCTTATTGCAAGGGGACTGGACAGTAAACAAGGAGGCCAGGAGAAGACTGTGACACGGGAAGTAAGGAAATTAGTGCTTCCAAACCAGACTATCATCTTTAAAGACTCCCTTTGATCCACTGAAATCTTTCTGCATACTTATGGGATCTCTTATTTAGCCAACCATGTCTGGAAATTAATAACCAGTTTACAAATTAAAAGAAGTACTATATACAAGCACATTTCATGCTATGTGCCTGCCTCATGAATCATCAATAAATGTGAGTTTCTATACCCTCATTCCCCTGTACAGGAGAAAAATATCTAACTTTGAAAATGGGGTGTGAACAAAATTAAAGATTTCTTGTAGCTCCAAGTTCATTACTATGTGACATATTATGTCACATTATATAATACGATTTATTACTTCTAGCAACAAAGTTTTTAGTAAGTGTTTTTTAGTGGCTACAGAGTAGTTTTCTTGCTAAAAATATAACAGCCTTAATTATACGCCAATGTTTAGGTTAGACAAGGTCTTCTCTAATTCTGCACCTACAATCATCATCATTTTATATGACCTGAGGCCATTCAACATCAAATCCAATCTACCTGGAAACTCAAGTCTGTGGAGAAGGTCAGAGTATGCCCAATTGTCAAACAGATCCATCTGCTTTTTCCCTATTCAAGATATGACAAGGAAAAGTACAGGGATTCCACTTCTGCTTTATATCTGCTCTTGACAAAGGACTGAACACACAGGAGTGTTGAACATTCTTTGGAGAATAGAGAGGCACACAGGAGGGACACTATGCTGTTAGACTCCAGCCCTTACTAGAAAGTGAAAAAGTATGGGGTTGTGGTGCAGGTTCTTTGACAGAGGTGTGTGGTAGGAAGAATCAGAAAAAAGAAATATCACAAAGAAAAGAGAAATAGTAACTTACATGGTCCATGGTTAGAACTGTAAAGAACTGGTCAGGGAATTCCACTTCTGGCATGACAGCATGAGGAGCTCCATGGACACGATCCCCAATGAAACTGTAAAAATTATTTTTTAAAAAAGAACCACAATTTAAAGTCTCTGGAAATGGTGCTAGGAACGTACAGCAAATGAAGAAACATTAGTTTATGAAAATCTCCAAAAACATGTTAAGAACTCTGAGAGTCTGGACTATGTGAACCAAACCTGAGCCCTCCATTGTCCATTCTGTCTCGGTGAGAAAGACTCCACTCCAGCTAGGATAGCCAAGGGCATGGGGCTTCTTCGCCACTTCTCAACCTTTGCCCCAGTTGGATAGCTATCTTCCTAGGTGGGGTAAGACATAATCACTTTTCACTCTGCCCCAGTTACCTACCTGTTGCACAGCTGAAGAATGAAGACTCCCTTCCTCTGCCTCGCCCCAAAACATGAAATGTAGGCTTTAACTTGGATGTGGTACTGCTGAGCATACTGAGGTTCCAATTGCTGTGCCCTGGCTCCTGGGGCAGGTGTTCCATGCCCAAACAGGCAAGCCAGGGAGACCTGGCTGCCGCCCCATCTGCCATCTACCAAGCACTCAGCTCCTAAAGCAGGGGAATCACTTAGAGAGATGCATGCCATTGTCCATACCTCCAGCACTAGAACAGTGGCTGTGGCTCTGAGATTTTGTCCAGGGGGAGAAGTAGGCCATAGAACAGAGTTCTGTATTGCTCCTCAAAGGAACTGAATTGACTTGCAACAGAATGTGGAGAAATTTAAACCTAAGGGCAATGTCAAAAACTGAAAATTTTGGTGAAGCGCAATTGGGAGGAGGTTGATAGATTAGAGGTGTATGTTATATTATAGGGTGGTTTGTTTGCCAGACAGAAACTGAGAGACCACCTGGGAAGAGACATTCTATTGTCAGAACAAATCTCAAACACTGACCTCAAGAAAGCCCCAGTTTGATTATATTAGCCTGTGAAGCAACATATACTCCAGGGCACTTACGAAAGCAATACTGCCATTAAGTTGCAATCGGTGGTGCTAACAGCTGGGGGTGGTCAGGGAGATGCTCAAAGACAGCCCTGTCAAAACCACTATCATCTAATGCTGTCTGTAAAAGTAGGCAAGGCTGTACTCCAATGAGCAACATCAGGGATTTTACACCATGGTGAGAATAGACTTCACTAAAACAATCCAGAGTCCATTCTCATGCTGCTATAAGGATACACCCAAGACTAGGTAATTTACAGAGGAAAGAGGCTTAATTGACTCACAGTTCTGTATGGCTGGGGAGGCCTCAGGAAACTTACAATCATGGCAGAAGGCACCTCTTCACAGGGTGGTAGGAGAGAGAATGAGAGTCGAGCTAAGGGGGAAGCCCCTTATAAAACCATCCGATCTTATGAGAACTCACTCACTATTAGAAGAACAGTATGGGGGAAACCACTCCCATGATTCAATCATTTCCTCTTGGTCCTGCTCTTGACATGTGGGGATTATTACAATTCAAGATGAGTTTCCGATGGAGATACAAAGCCAAACCATATCACCGTCACTAAGCAAGTAAATAAGCAAGTACCAATAACAAGCCCTGAGGCAGAGGGTGTGGACAAAAGTACTGGAGTTCCAACAACTGTCTATAAAATCCACTTTCCACAAACAAGAGACAGGCAAAGAAACAGGAAAGTATGATTCACACACTGGAAAAGAAGCCCACAACAGAAACTGCTTGTGAGAGCAACCAGATTTAACAGGCAAAGACTTCAACTTATAAACAGGTAAAGACTTCAAATTATACATTATAATATATATTCAAATAGACAAAGGAAACCATAAAGAAGTAAATGTAGGTATGATCATAATGTTGCATCAAAAGAAGAATATCAACAAAGAGATACAAATTATCAATAATAAACATGGAAATTCTGAAGTTACAAAGTATAATAACTGAAATGAAATTTTCACTAGAGGACTCAATAGTAGATATGAACTGGCAGAAGTATTAGCAAAGTTGAAGATAGATTAATAGCAATGGTGTAATCTGATGAACAGAGAGAAAACGAGACAAATTAACATCTCAGAGAAATGTGGGACCCCATTAAGCACACTGCTATAAACAGGAGTACCAGAAGAGAGATGAGAGAGAAAAAAAGCATTTAAAATTTACAAAGAAATAATGAATTTAAAATTCCCAAATTTATTGAAAAACATTAAACTGCACATCCAGGAAGCTCAACAAACACCAAGCAGGATAAATGCATAGAGATCCAAACATAGATGCATCATTATAAAAGCACTGAAATCCAAAGAAAGAAATGGAGAAAATCTTGAAAGCAGTAAAAGGAAACTGCAGGCTAGAAGTGAAACTAATACAGAAGTATTAACTGCTGATTTCTCATCAGAAAAAAATGAAAGCCAGAAGGCAGTGGGATGACATATACAAAGTACTCACATACACAAAATCCTTCAACCCAGAATCCTAAATCCATCAACATGCAAAAAAATGAAGTGACCCCCCACCTCACACCACTTACAAAAATTAACTCAAAATGGATTAAAGACTTAAATATAAGGCCTGAAACTCTAAAAATCCCAGAAGAAAACATAGTGAAGCTCTTGACATTGGTCTTGCAATGATTTTTAAAAATATAACACCAAAAGCACCTGAAACAAAAGCAAAAACAAAGAAATCAAATCAAATTAAAAAGCTTCTGTAAAATAAAGGAAACAATTTAAAAAGTGAAATGACATTCTACAGAGTGGGAGAAAATATGTGCAAATTATATATCTGACAAGGGGTTAATATCTAAATATATAAGAAATTCATTCAACTCAATAGCAAAAAAAAAAAAAAAAAATAAATCCAACTAAAAAATAAGCAAAGAACCTGATAGACATTTTTCCAAAGAAGATATACAAATGGTCAACGGGTATATAAAAAGGTGCTCAATATCACTAAACATCAGGGAAATGCAAATCAAACCGCAATGAAATATCACCTCACACCTAACAGGGCTGCTATTATCAAAAAGACAAGAAAGAAAAAAAATGTTGACAAGGATATGGAAAAAAGGGAAGCCTTGTACACTGCTGGGGATGTAAACTGGTATGATCCTTCTGAAAAAGGGTATGGAGGTTCCTCAAAAACTTAAAAATAGAACATTCATACAATCCAGCAATCCTGCTTCTGGCTATACGGCCAAAAGAAATGAAGTCAGTAACTTTTTTCCATCTGCACCAAGACGGAGTCTTGTTCTTTCGCCCACGGTGGAGTGCAGTGCTGCAATCTCAGTTCATTGCAACCTCTGCCTCCAGGGTTCTAGCAATTCTCCTGTCTCAGCCTCCCGAGTGGCTGGGATTACAGGTGTGTGGCACCATGCCCGGCTAAATTTTGTATTTTTAGTAGAGATGGGGTTTCACCATATTGGCCAGGCTGGTCTCGAACTCCTGAGTTCATGATCCACCCACCTTGGCCTCCCAAAGTGCTGGAATTACAGGCGTGAGCTACCACGCATGGCCAAAGTCAGTAACTTGAAGAGATATTTGCAGTCCTTGTTCATGGCAGCATTATTCACAATAACCAAGGTATGAAAACCTAAGTGTCCCTCAATGGGTGGACAGATAAAGTGTGCTTGTATGTGTGTGTATATACATAAGTATGTGTCAATTATGTATCAGTAAAACAAAGGGGGGTGGTTATCCTTATGCAGCAAATCTATATTTCAAAACTTAAGACCATTTCAAAACTTAAGATGAAAAGACATTTCCAGATAAAAACTGAATTTACTGCTAGCTGACTGACCTTAAAAAGTACTCAAGGAAGCTCTTTAGGCTGGTGATCCCAGGTAGTAATAAAAATCCATATGAAAAAACAAAGAGAAGAGGCCGGGCGTGGTGGCTCACACCTATAATCTCAGCACTTTGAGAGGCTGAGGTGGGAAGATCACCTGAGGTTGTGAGTTCGAGACCAGCCTGATCAACATGGAAAAACCTGGTCTCTACTAAAAATACAAAATTAGCCAGGTGTGGTGACACATGCCTGTAATCTCATTTACTTGGGAGGCTGAGGCAGAAGAATCACTTGAACCCAGGAGGCAGAGGTTAAGGTGAGCCGAGATGGCGCCAAGGCACTCCAGCCTGGGCAACAAGAGCGAAACTCTGTCTCAAAAAAAAAAAAAGAGAAGCAAGGCAATTTTATGTAATTGTAAATGACAGTATACATATATATCCCTTCTCCTCTTAACTGATAGACAAATTTTATGAAACAATGTGTATATTATGTATTATTGGGCCCATAACATACAGAAATGTAATATATTTGCTAATAATAACACAAAGAAGGCAGGGGAAAGCAAAGTTGTACTGGGCTAAGGAAATGAATCCAGATGGTAACTCCAATCCGGATTATCTGGACCTCATGAGGAGAACCCAAAGTGAGAAATCAGACTGACAAAATAAAAGTTATAAATGTATAAAAGTTCTCCTCATTTTTTTAAAACATAGATTTATTTAATGTAAAAATTACAACGATTGGTTGAGTTCGAAACATCTGTAGATGTAATGTGAAGACCTATATTACTACAAGAGAAGATAAAAGGAAATAAGAGTTATATAGGAGTAACATTTCTCTATCTCACTTGAATTAAGCCAATATAAATCAGAAGCTGTTTCTGAAGTAAGATATTTGCCAGAATAAATCTCTAAGCAGCAAAGTGTTCACAGTGCTGCTCGGTTTCTCTTAACTAGAGTAAAATGTGAGAAGAAACAATACAAAGATGGGATTTATAACATGGAAGCAAAACATAGAGATTTGAAAATTCTCAGCCTGAGCATGTAAATCAAAAGACATTTAGGAAAGTAAACCAAGGGTGTGACCAAGTGACTTTTTGGTAAGAGTGTGGCTAGAAAGAAGCCAGATGCTTTTCATCATGACAACAGGAGAATGAATCCAATGGCACTTCAGAGAGCTTCAAGGCTGCTCCTCCCATCACAGGTCCAGCGTGCGAGGGCCTTGAAGGCAGGATGGTTTCAAGGGAAGGGTCTAGAGCACTCATGGGGCTTGCTGCCCAGGGCT